TGTGTTTTAATTTAGCAAAAGAAGTGAAATATGTTGACTTAACTAGTTACATAAAAACCTTGCTTTAGACTATCACGACTGCCTCATCACTATTATCTGCTATTGCATTAGCCCGTATCGCCTTCATCTGTCTGGCAACTATATCCACTTTTAGCCACTTTTTTCCACGACAACTGACAGGTACTCCTTCCACACGCCATGTTGAACTGATGCCGTCTTGCCACAGGCCTGGGAATTTGACATTCCTTATCTATTGTTATCGCTGCAAAAATACTGATACAATACATATACGGGTGTGCTCATGGCTTACCTTCATCCTTGTGATTTGCTTACTGGTACTGTAAACTCTTTTAAGTAATTGCATTTAAAAAAATTTCCAGTAGGCTTCGCTACTAAATCACTCCTTTCTCCTCCAGAGTCAGTCTGGATATGATGTCAGTTCAAGCAAATACTGGCCCATCATGGGAAGACAAGAATACCACAGCATTCTGGAGAGGACGTGACAGCCGCAAAGAGAGGCTTGAACTTGTAAAACTGAGCAGAAAATACCCAGAGATCATAGATGCTGCTTTCACAAACTTTTTTTTTTTTAAACATGATGAAAGCCTCTATGGCCCCATTGTTAAGCATATTTCGTTTTTTGATTTTTTTAAGGTAAGCCACTAACCATTTTTCACAGAACTAGGTTCTTGGTGTTTCAAATTATCAAATAACTTCATACATATTATCGGTAATAAAGTGATTCTTAGTTTTTCAGCGCAAGACCAGTAACAAGCGTGAATAGGCATCCCTCCAGTGGGATGAACTGCTATGTAGCTCTTAACGCTAAGGATGATAATGTTTTATTTACATCTAAAGGTTCTGTAGAACCTCATGTAATCTATATAACTCCAAGTTACTTTTTATTTCTTTTTCCTGATTCAGTGATCAGGACTACTAACATAACTAACATAGTGGGAATATCAGTGGATGAAGTGGCACGTCTACCCTCACATCTGAGGATGAGCGTCTAAGAATTTCCGGAGAACTTAATTGATGAAGAGGGCATCTCTGTGTACCCTGCACTGTGATGAATTCCAAACTAAATACTAAAAGCTATTTAAACACTGACGCTTGCCTAGCCAGTCCTATGTTTCTCAATATCGGCAAGTCAGTCACACTGGTGCCCTCAGGATAGTACAACCTAACAAAGCTACTTGGATCTCCTGTTTGTTAATAACTTACGGTCATTTTCTTTCCAGTATAAATATCAAATTAATATTGATGGCACAGTGGCAGCATACAGATTGCCTTATCTACTAGCAGGAAACAGTGTGGTGCTAAAGCAAGACTCCATCTACTATGAGCATTTTTATAACGAGCTGCAGCCATGGAAACATTATATTCCGTTTAAAAGCGACCTGAGTGATCTACTAGAAAAACTCCAGTGGGCAAAAGAGCATGATGAAGAGGTAAATACACATTTAGAAGGACTCGGCAATGGTTCTAGACGAAGTAGAGAGAGCAAAAAGTGCATTTCTTTAAAACAAAAAAATCTATTAGAAGGACTTAAAAAATATTGTCATCGACTCTACAAATAAGAAAAACACTTTTTAAAAAATACCTAATATTGCCCTTAATTTGACATTAAATTGAACTTTGGAAAAAATGAAGAGTATTTTCATAAGAATGCTGTACTTTTAAAATTAAGAAAGCTTAAATAACAATAAAGAAGTTTTCCTAAACTGTCAACACTATACTTAACTCCAGAATCAATACTGAAATAACTACCTTTTTTTTTTTTTTTTAGAATTAAAAAAACCCACAGCTTTTTATTTTCTTTGACAGGCAAAAAATATTGCAAAATCTGGACAAGAATTTGCAAGAAACAATCTCATGGGAGATCACATTTTTTGTTACTATTTCAAACTTTTCCAGGTTAGTATATTTTTAACACCTAGTACCACAAAAAGTAGAAATCTCACAGAAAGAATTCAGGGCAACAGAGTTGCTGGAAATTGGCCGGTCCAGTACTTGAAGCCACAAAGCCAGCAGCAGCAGCAATTAAGAACTTCAGTTGGTTTACAAACTCTGCATGCAGTTACTTCCTACGAAACCCCTTAAGACTACGCTGGCAGTTTGAGAGGAGCCATGGGATGCCATAAATCTTGGTCTAATCTGCAAGAATACGTTGCCCACAATGATCAAAGAATTCCACATCAGACGCACACCCTGTGAACCACAGCTGAAAATATCTGTGCATTAGCACCGAGGTATCGAAACTCCAGTGAGGCACCCGATGGGGCTCCTGTCTGCGGTCATGTATCTGCTTACCCTGTCTGTGACACTGTATGGAGTAACAGATTCTGCAGCTCCAGAGTTTTTACAGAATTACTCCGCTGAGTTGGTGTAGTATTTACAACCAGATGTACAATCTAACAAGTTTATGAATTAACAAAACTTTCCTTTTTCTAAAACTAGGAATATGCCAGTTTGCAAGTGAGCGAGCCAAAAATCAGAGAGGGGATGGAGAAAGTGCAGCAGCCTGATGATGACCTTTTTCCATGTACTTGCCACAGAAAAAAGGTACGGTACACGCAGCCTTAAACGTAAAGTGCTTGATGTCTCCAGTTCTTATTTGACCAAATTGGATCAGCCACTGCTGAGCAGCCTGTAGTATCAGTTACCAGACCATTAATCCCTGTCAAACTCAGAAACATTTCTTAATGTATTTGCAGGACTAGGCAGTTAAAAACTGAGTTTCCAATTAACTGAAAAATGTTTCTTCTTTCTTGACTACAGGCCAAAGATGAACTCTGACAGAAAGGAAGAAAGAAAATAATTTTTTTAATATTTACCTACATTCAGATTGTCTTCTTAAGAAGAAAAATTTGCATTAAAATGCCAATGGATAATGTCAATGGATATTATGAAGTTTACTGTATCATGCTCTACATATGGGAGACAACCAAGCAACCCGTTTTTATCATGCAGTGGTTGCAGAACTTTGTTCAAATACATTTTTATAATTTTTTTTAAATAAAAACCATGTTTGTATCAGTCATGTGTTACTGTCCTGAGATACCTTGGAAATGCAAGTACTTTTTATTCATTCTGCTGAGTCAACTCACACGTGTGTTATGCAAAAAAGGGCAGATAGATAAGAATCATAAATCAACCCCTCCCATCCCATGCAGCTATACAAAGTCATCTTTTTCAGACCATAACTTTATTCCTTCTGGGAGAATCAGTATTCTCAAAGACAATGGCACGGGATTTATAATGTATCTTTTTAACCTGAAGGAAAAGCACAGTGCTATTGGACACTATAGTAATGTTAGATTAAAGTTCCATACGATTTTTCAGATGTTTTGTCTGTGAAACTCAGTCTCTTTGGCAATAAGAAAAGAATTCAGTAGCACTGAGCAGTGACTACAGCGACTATTTCAAGTCTAGTCTATTTTTAAAGTATCTCCCTTATGCTGATACTAAGTAATTCAACTGTTACTTTTGAGCATATCAACATCATCTTAAAGTCAAGTCTAAATTCATCAAATTCCAAAGTTAGCACATATGTTTCCAGTCCTAAGTGAGGATTTCTCTCTGTAACACAGCCAATTTGAAATCCGTATAGTTATTTTCTTCACAAACATTTAGGTGTGTGCTATGCTCATTAAACATTACTGCTGGGAAATCAGCAGTCTTACAGCATCTTGTGAGAAACAACAGAAGATTATTATATCCCATTAACATTTTTTTACTTTCACCTGCCTATTATTTTTACTACAGCCAAAGGAATGGTCTGTTTGATCATGTGGTAAGCAGTATTTTGCACTTTACTAACCTACAGTCTTGAATCGATTTTTTTTTTTTAATATATACACAGTACAGCACCAAAACAAAGGCACCTGGCCAAAACATCACAGAAATCCTCTCAGCTCACCAGGGCTGGCCAGGTGCACGTTTAAGCAGCTCTGCAGCGTCACGCACAACAGCTACTCCCAAAAACAACCTCCAGCTGAAGCTGCCTGTTCACGTTCAACAGGACACACTGCAGCAGCCTGAAGATGCTGAATAACTGGAGCAGGTTTTGCGGAACTCTTGGCTGTGGAGTTGAGGCCGCCATCGCAGGAGACAATGCCAAAATGCTTTTCTCAGGACAGATGGCCATTTCATCCTGGGGTCATCATTCAGCTGGTACTTGCTGATGACTTGGCTGAAAGCAATTAACACATCACTATGACCTGTGGTTATACCGACAGGTTGCTCACAGCCCACAACGGGAGAGGTTGCAGCCACAAGCACACAGTTTTTCATCCAACGTCAGAGCTCAGCTGAAGACCGGAGAGACCGGAGTTCCTTCTGCTAATGGGTAAGGAGGTGCAGACCCCCACTGCCTCTTCAGAGCCCTCCTGTCTGATAGCAGCCTTGTGCAACAGTGTAACTGCTACCTCCTCCAGGAGCTCCTCCACCTATACAAACATGATTTGTCTTTTGTCCATTTTTATTTAATAGCCTTCCCTGCCTATCTCCCCAACGGGCCTCCCTGACGGGTCCTTACGCAAGGGAAGTTGCTGGAAGGTGACTTTTCAAAACTGACCCGTGTTCTTTGCCTGTGTTACCTCCTCCTCCCCACACAGGCCCAGAACCTAGCTCCTTAGAGTAGTGACGTTGCACACAAGGAGGGATTCTCTACCTGCGTCACAGGTTTTGAAGCACACTGGAGTGGCAGGATACAGCACCAGGACAGAGCCATACAGCCCACAGAGTTCTACAAAGCAGTAGGTTTTAATTTCAAACAAGTATAGCATCAGTAATACACTCAGAAATGAAACACACCTAAATATTTGCTGTCAAAATAGATTTCTTTCCAGTATATCACTTCAAGTATCAGTCAAAAGCATTTACTTGTTAATGCAGAGCACCGAGTGTTGTATACAGTTGTTTGCACAGAAACACAGAAAACAATGCTGCCACAGTATGAAATATTTTCTTTCCTTTGAAAACTTCTTTATTTTTTCATTCACACAAAAATGTTTTATTTCCATTTACACTTAGACCTCTGAAAACATCTGTTTTAAAAAATACATCTCTCAGAAATAACAAACTCATTTGCTGCATTTACAAAAAACTAAACAAAGATACTGCTTAAATACTGCAAATCATTTCTGCTCCAGTTCAATATTCTCTCTAAGCCAAGAAAACACTTGTGCATATATTTCTTCCATGACATCATCCGTTGTTCGTCCTTTGACTACCATCCCGTGGTTTGCTTTATCAATCCAATGGATTTTTTTAGGGGCTTTCATTTTGCTTGCCACACCTTCTAGCAGTTGCTATAGAGAAAGTAAGAATGAAAAACGTTAGAGAATCAGATGCTACAAACGTGCAACTCACAGATGTCTCTCGCTTTGCTTGTGTGACACATCACAGGCAGCTCTTAAAATGGATCTGCCTGCACATTAAAAAAAATGTTGACAGAAAAGATGTGATTATACTGTGTTCAGTAACAGAAGTAACTCAAAGGTTAGCCCTCACTCAAATACAGAATAGAAGAAAATTAAAACTTAAAAAACTGCAAAGGTCACAACCCTGTGCAGGCTCCTTCCCCACAAAAGGAAGGATGAAGGAATCCACTTTTACTGCCAGAGGGTAGTACTAGCAATAAAACAACAAAACTTCTTACATCCGATTTGTCTCAAGTAGCAGAGTAGCGATATAATTCCCTAGAGACTGGCTTTGACTCTGTTCAACTTTCTCAGCAAACAGATGTAAGAACCAGCTCAGAAAATCTTAAAAGATTTCCCCACTAAGAGGGCACTCCAAAGATCTGCTGGCTGCTAGCCTGACTTATTTTGGTGACAGCTCCTCACAAAAGCATTATGACTCCTTAGAAACTATGTCCAAGCATGGAAAATGCCAATTGCACACAGTTCCAAATTCAAGCTGAACTGTTCAAGAACAACAGGTACCTATTTGCAAGAAAACAAAGCAGAAAAACACCGTATTCTGATCTCTGCGCACCTCCTCTTTAACAAATAACGCCTTCTACCACCGAAGTCTGACTAGCAGGTAGAACTGCTTTGCGAGAATTTGTCATGAAAATGCAACAAATGTGTTTTGGTAGCACAGTGTTTACGTTTTGTAACCTGAAATGGTTAAAACAGAATAGCAAATAACTCGCTCCTTCCATAGGCCACTTCTAATTTGTACAATCTTATCCTATCAAAAAAGACAAGAAGTTCAAATTAGCAGTATGTTAGTGGCCCAAAGATGAGTGTGCTAAAGTGGATGGTCAAGTACAATCCAGAAGTTTTATGTAGAAAAAAAAAAAAAAGCACCCCCCACATTTCCTTATGTCCAATGACGTTTCCTACCCAAGGCCTCCTTCAGAAGGTACATATATTTAGAGAAAGCTGTTAATTGAAGTCACAGCTGTGTATACCAGTATAGACATCGCTCAGGCTCATTCCCATTCCTCCCTACTGCCCCTTCATAGCAGGCTTGACAAGGATTTACTCACTTTTTCACACATCTCATCTGCTGATCCTGAGACAAACAGCACTGGACATCTGATGAATAATAAATCTTCATCCCGGAGCTTGGACTGAAGTTTTGGTCGATGTAATGGGTAAGATAAACATACTAGACCTTGAATGAAGTCATCATCATCCTCCTGGCTAAGATGACGTATCACAGAGGCAGCAGCTCGTGAGCCCATGGAACGGCCTTTCTCCCATGTTAAAATAAAGGGAAAAAAGCGTATCTGCTATTACCTCATCTACATTCTGTTTGAGTAAACAACTCCTAGAAACAACCCAACTCAGTGTATTTCAGCATACCAGTAGTACAAGATGCTAGGGATGCTTCTATTCATCTACTCCTTGAAAAATATTAACTCTAATTTCAACATTTTCTGCTAAAATATTTGACTAGTTACATTATGGTTTTGCATCCTCATTTGAAAAAGAAGGGGGAAAAAATTAAAAAACATAAATGGAGAGGGATCTTTTGCAATACTGGAAGGAACAACAGCCCATCCAGGGGACAGGAGGAAGAGAGGGACAGGTCCTTTGCTCCAGACCCTTGAAATTCCAGATAGCAACGCTATTATCTCATATCATGTATTTTTACACGAGAAAAATCTTTCATTTTTTCCTCACATAACCTTAATTTGCTCAAATTAAAAACAAAGTTTTATGTGCCTTACTCCCAAAACAAATCCAGCAAGTGTTTATGCATACCTCAAACTTCAGCCTAAAAGTAAAAGTAGAAGGGGGAAAAAAAATAAAGTGTGAACTTGTAGCGAGAGGTCCATCAGTAACAGCACAGGGGTATCAAAATATCTCCTCAAAGACGAGGCATATGAGCTGACAATGCTCTGTAATTGAGTGTTAAAGTGGCTGATTCCAGTGGGATTAAGTTGCATCAGCACAGATTTGGTTTCACTTAGTCAGAGACCATTCAGGGTTTCCCGTACAAAGTTATTCCTAATCACACCCACCTACTTCCCTTTTTCCCATAATATAACTGATGTTCTATCTGCCACGAGGTTTTATCTACCAAAACCTGCTTTGGCAAAATGGTTTTCCATTTACCAGTAACTGGAATTCTTCGAGACCCGCAGTTAAAAAGCACACATGGATTATCAGAGATCTCATGCCCTGTCACTTACAAGCAACAAGGGAATTTTCTCCCAACGTATCTGAAAAACGTCATCTATTGTTCTTTCCCTCCTCCTTCTGGAGTGAGATCTGTGGCATCACGAGGAGTGTGAACAGGTCTAGACAGCCACGCTCTCAAGAGAAGGTGGTGAAATGGACATGCCCATTTGCGACTGGAAGAGCAGTGCTGTAAGATAGCCGGTTGCACACCCGCCCTGCACAGCTACCGGCTACGGGGCTGGGAGCTTTCAGCTCCTGCTTACAACACCCCAAATGCAGATCTCTAAGTGGGCTTGGCACCCAATGAACTTCTAATCAATTAATGAGGATTAGAGAACATTTGTAATCTCTTTGTAAAGGAGGTTCTCCCGGCAGACAGCTGAATCGCTCTCTCTAGACAATACTGACTAGAGGGAGCTTGTTCCCAAGTTACCGAGATTTTAGCGCCCACCTCAAACTGAAACCTGTCACCTGCATCTGTTCATTCACTTCTTACCAAAGTGGGACAGACTTCAAAAATGGAGTAATTGCAGATTGCTATGGTGAGAGGCAGTACAAGAGAGAAAATTATAGACACTAAAACAATACCTGCAAGGAAGACGCCCGAAAGTTTATAATCATCAGAAAGCTTTAAGAATTCCTAAAGAAATAAGATAAATATTACAACTCAGAACTAAGACAGCTGACAGGCTGGGGATTTTAGCTACTAAATACAAAATGGGAAACTCTTTCAGCACTGCAGATTAAACAACAAACAGATACACACAAATTGCTCTCGTTTTTTCACACAAGTGATTTCATAACATTTTGCAGCAATAATATAATAAACATAAGCAACTTCACATTAGCTCTCAACAAGTCTAAAATATCAGATGTCCTATAAAGTTACCAAAATAGAAATGATGACTGTGCATCAACTTAGTTATAGTAACAGACCGCATGCATGCTCTTAGCCCATCAAAAGGCAAAATAAATTAACAAAAATGCCCTTCACTGCGGTCACGTATTTCCCACAAAAAGTTTAAGACACAATCAGTTATGTCTGACAGCAAAGATAAAATTCAGCAACAATTGTTTCAGGTTTTAGGAGATAACTAATCAGATGCTATCTTAGCAGAGGCCTTTAAATTACCTTCACACAGCAGCATATTAATATAAACTCACTAACAACATTATGTTTCTTCAAAAAAGAATGGAGAACAGATTCACATTAAAGCTAGCAAAGTTTAACGTCACATTAATATACAAATAATCACAATGATATCATACAAATTAATTCCTTAAGAACTAGACTTAATTCCCCAATAAAAATGTCTGATGCTCAATGCAAAGCACTCAAGCTACCTTCCCATGCCTCAGTAAAAGTAGCTAGATAATCA